AGGGTATTTATTTCCAATTAGCTATGCATCTATATCTTTAGCTTAGAGTAGGTAGACATCTTTTTTTATGAATTCACTCACTTCTCTTCTGACTCTCTGCCTCAAGCAAAATATTGAGTCTATTTTTAGAGAAACGTTATGGGAAGAGGTTTTCATACACAGTGGAACACACTGACTAGATTCATGGCTACTCTGCTTATTCTTAAATTAGATTAAATTGTGTGTGTGTGTGTGTGTGTGTGTGTGTGTGTGTGTGTGTGTGTGTGTGTGTGAGTGTCCATGTAGAGTACTTGTGGGAGTCAGTATCCACTTCCTCATATGGGTGCCTGGGATCCAAATTAGGATGCCAGGCCTGTCAGCCAGTGCCTTGGCTTGCTGAGCTATCTCACTGGTCCAAGTCTCTATGTTTGAAAATGTGTAACAAAATTCTATAAACTTCTTCTATTCAAGTCCATAAAAAAGACATGTGAATGATCACACTGAGTTAAAATACCACAAGCAAGTATGAAGGCTTCTATACACAAGTAAGTTTGTAGATCTATTTGAGTATAGTCAAAATGAATTACACATACATAATATCATTTCTTGATATATATGATACAGCATATACTAGTTTGTGTATAAGTAGTACACAGTCAGCCCTGAGCATTCCTAGGGAATTGTTTATGAGACATCAGTTAAAACTGTTGGCTGTTCCAGATCCTTATACATAATGACATAGTATTTTCATACAATCTGTATATACTGTCATCTATTTGAAATCCACAATTGAGATGCTGTGTTTTAGAAGATAATAACAATAGCATTTGTGTGGATTCATATGAGTAAATGCGTGTGTGTGGGAGATGTATGTGCACGAGCGTGAAAAGGTGCATTTGTGTTGGAGGCTAGAAAACAACTGTGGGTGTTGTTCCTCAAGTGCACTCTTCCATGTGCTTTGAGACAAGCGCCCAACCCTGACTCCTGGCCTGGAAATCAGTAAGTAAAGTAGGCTGGATAGTCAGTTACCCTCAAGGATCAATCTGTCTACATCTCCCCCAGACTTTTTATGTGAACAGTGGAGATTGAACTCAGGTTCTCATGTTTGTATGGCAAGTACTTTACTGCTGAGCCAAATAGGGATGCATTTTCCCCAAGTAATTTTAATCTGCATTTAGCTGAATTAGAAGATACAGAACCCCTATAGATACAGATTATAATAAAAATTTGCATGTATTGTTACTATATTTAGGGTTTTTTTTTTTTTTTGGTTTTTCAAGACAGGGTTTCTCTGTGTAGCTTTGTGCCTTTTTTCCTGGAACTCACTTGGTAGCCCAGGCTGGCCTCGAACTCACAGAGATCTGCCTGGCTCTGCCTCCCGAGTGCTGGTATTAAAGGTGTGTGCCACCACCGCCTGGCCTTATTACTACATTTAGTTATGCTACAGATCATAGATACACTGTTTAAATAATTTATTACATAGTGTGTGTGTGTGTGTGTGTGTGTGTGTGTGTGTGTGTGTGTATCTACTTAGCTGCATGTTCACTAAAGTATGAAAGATGAAGGGTAAAGGGCAATTGAGGATGTGATAATTCTCAGAGAACATATTTTGTCTCTTTAAATTCCACTGGAATGTGACCATGTTAAGCAATTCGCTACAAGCCCAAACTCCTGCAAGCCTGTAGGAATAAGTGAAGAGGATTGCGTGTAACTCCAGCTCATGGAAGGTAGACAGAGGTTGAGTGCAGGAGATGCTGTACTAGAGAGAACAAGCAATCCTCACAGCCAGCTTGTTTGCATGATAGATTTGCTTTGCAAATGCTTTCTATTCAAAGAAAACCAAAGTAAACTCCAGCTCAGCCTTTCCTATGGGTATTAGATATCAAAGTAATGGAGTCAGAATCTCTGATAACTCTGTGTATGTTAGTCAGACTTTCTTCCTGCTGGCAAGTCCCTGAGACAATGAATCTATGAATCCATATGGTAAAGAGATTTGCTGGAGCCACAATTCTGGAGAGTTCACTTTGTCATCATTTGGTCCTTTGTGTTGGTGATAGGAGTGAGGAGAAGAACAACCTCGCTGGGTCCAGGATCAAGAGAAAGCAGGCCAGGGAGATGACTGTTAGTAAAACACTTGCTGCATAAATATGAGGATGGACTTAGGTCCAGAGACAACACTAATAAAACACAGGCCGCTGGGGAGAGGGTCCCACAAGTAAGAGTACCTGATGCATAGGCTTGAGGGTCTGAGTTCAGATTCCTAGCACCTACATAAAAAGATGCGCACAGCTACATATAGCAAAAGATGAATAGAACCTGGGCATGGGGGTATGTCCTTGTATTCCTCGTGATGGAGAGATGAATGTGGACTCTCATGGCTTACTGGTCAAGCAGCCTCGCAGAATTGGTGGATCCCAGGCCAGTAGGAGACCCACTATTTGAAAGCAAAGTAGAGTCATATGTAACCAACCCAAGATTGTCCTGTGGCTTACACACATGCACACATGCATCTACCTGCACACACACACACACACACACACACACACACACACACACACACGCACGCACACGCACGCGCGCAAATGCATGCATGCATGCAAGCATGCATGCATACAAGCATGCATGCACACATAAATTAATGGCATAACCTAAGTGACACGAGAGTGTGAGTTCTTTAGGAAAGTCCCAAAGTCTTCATGGACATGCTTCTATTTTTCATAGGAACTCAAACATTGGAAAATGACAACAAAGCAGTGAAAAGAAAGGAGGGCAGTCCCTAGAGCCAGACATCCCGAGAAGAGCTTAGGGTGGCACATGAGCTCAGCTTAATCATCAGGGGACAGAGAAATGCTCAAGGAAACAGACAGTGAACCATGTGGGACAGTGTGTAGGTACCGGGATGAAAGGAAAGGAAAACAGAGAGGCAACGCTGATTTCATCAGCCCGACAAGCACGGCTGAGTCCAACAGGAGTTCCGGAATCGATTTCACGGTGATGCTCCCGAGTCATCAAAAAAGGGTCCCATTTTCTGTTCTGAATTCTGTGTTTAAGAAGGCAAGGAGGCATGTAATCCATTGGAGAAAGATTTCTATTTCAAATAGTTAAAATTTCTCTGAAAATATTTTCAGTGTTTAAAGGGATAAGTGATAGTTATCTGGAAAATTCACTTAGGTGGAACGGTATCTTCCCCTAAAGATTCTAGATTAGTCAAGCAGTGCAGTGTATTGAGTCAGGTGTTTCCCACTCATGATTTACTGACATTTTTGTCTCTATTGTTCCCAAGCCACTCTTAACCTACAAACGCTAAGGACCAGATACTAAACTTCGTGATAGAATGTGATACTGTTTCTTGGATACTTGATACCCTCGTGGACTTTAGGATGAGTTAACACTTGCAGAAATGAATGACTCCATATGGGCTTAGTGGCCATACATTCCATCTCAACCCTCAAGAAGAAGAGGTATGTAGATCTCTATGAGTTCAAGGCTAGTCTGTTCTGTATATATGGAGTTCCAGGCCAACAGGGGGACATAAGACTCTAATGTGTCAAAAAATCATTTATGAAAGGAAAATGGAAAACCTTGCTGAAAGTTACCATTACCCTCTCTGCTTCCTGGTCCTCCAGTGGATGAGCAGGCAATTGTCCCATACCCCTGTTGCCTCAGACCATCCTGCTTGTGCCACCATGCCTTCCCTGGCACGATGGGCTTCAAACCATGAACCAAAGGCAATTCCTCTTCTGGATGCTTTGTTAGGTGCTACATCACAACAGCAAGAGGCTAACTAATTCACACATGATAACCAAATCATTCATTCACCATAAAAACAAAATGGAATAGGAGGAACATAAAAGGAGTTAGCCACTTTTTCTCTGAAATGAAATGTCAGGGGTAGGGATACTTCCCTTGGTAGAGTACTTTTCAAACATGCACAGCAGCCCTGACTGTGATGGCCAGCACCACAGAAAAAACCAAGCATGGTGGCATACTCCTGTATTCATGGCACTCCAGAGGTGGAGGAAGGATGACCAAAAATTCAAAGTCATTCTCAACTACATAGTGAGTTAAAGGCAAATGAATGCTGCATGAGAACCTCCCATCTTAGTAGCTGATTAATTCATGAAAAATGAAAATTTACATTTAGATTCATATCCATTGAAGTATCTTCTTCAGACAACAGAAATTCTGGGAACACAGAGTAGCCTCTGCCTGTCTTGTTGGCCTCATTGCCTGGTGCTTGCTCCTTAGATATCCTTCATTTTAGACATAACTCATAACTCTGTGTATGAAAGGGGATCCTTGACACCTTCTGATGCGATCTTCCTCTCCAACAGTGTTCAACTACCACACCTCCCATATTTAGCTCAAATGCTCTACTTCAAATGCCATCCCTCACAAAACCTCTTCATTTCCCAGTTGTCGAGGGTGGGTATTATCCATGTCATTCTGAAGATGCGGAGACAAGTATAGATTCAACAGACCTCTCTCAGGACCAAAGCCAGGACTCACGGCCTTCTTTGGGTCATACCTCTCCTCAAAGCAGAGTGAACAAGTGCACTGCAGCCACTTTCTTGTCAAATACCCCTCTCTTTGAATGTCTTAGTTAGTGTTTCTATTGATCTCATACAACACCATGACCAAAAGAAAATTGGGAAAGAAAACTTACAATTCTCAAGTGACACTCCATCACTGGGAGAAGTCATGACAGAAACCTAGAAGCAGGAACTGAAGTACAGGCCATGGAGGAACACTGCTTATTGGCTTGCTCCCCTTGGCTTTCTCAGGTTTATTTTTATTTATTACTTTTTTTAATATACCCCAGGACTACCTACCCAGAGGTAGTACCACCCATAATTGTCTTGGTCTTCCCACATCAGTCACTAAGAAGATTATCATTTGAAGACATTTTTTTAAATTGAGGTTCCCACTTTTTCATTGACTCTAGCTTATGTCAGGATAAAACACAGTCAAGGTTTTGGCTTGTGGGTTTCAAGGTATCATGAAAAAGGGCAGAACCTTACCTGGTGTGTTAAGCAGGCGAGATCTCCTGCAGTGATATGCCACCTCTTGTTCACAGTACTCTGATCCATCAATCAGAGCCTCCAGCTGCTCCATACTGCCCCCATAGTTTAAGGTCATGGCATAGGGCTTCTCAGGGTTGGAGCCCTGTACCCGAGTCAGCTCTGTGTTGTTGTGCTGAACCATCGTCCAGATCTTGTCCTCTGCACAGACAACAATGCAAAGCAAGGGAAGTTAGAATAAAAACCCTAAGAAGAGTACGTAAATAGTGGGTCACTCAAATTACAATGGAGTCTCCACTGGAGTGTTCTATATATGCAATGGGATTAAGGCATTCTATTGATTAAAGAAGGACCAAAGAAATATGTTTCTTGCCAGGCGGTGGTGGTGCATGCCTTTAATCCCAGCACTTGGGAGGCAGAGCTAGGCAGATCTCTGTGAGTTCCAGGCCAGCCTAGTCTACAGAATGAGATCCAGGACAGGCACCAAAACAACACATAGAAACCCTGTCTCAAAACAAAACAAACAAACAAACAAAAACCCAGAAACAAAAACAACAAGAACAACAATGAAAAAAAGAATTATGTTCCTTATAGGGCTCTGTCTCCAGTTAATATGGGGGCAAATAATCTTAGGGGCTATGCTTAAGTCTTTATTCCACAGGCTTTATACTATGTATTTAATGTAAGTTATTAATTTAAAATTGACCTATACAATCTTCCTCCTTATCCCTGGGGAGACTGTTCAAAGACATTTTAAAGCATATCAAAGTCTTCAGGTGCTCAACATTCTCACAGAAAATAACATAGCATTTGTATATTATATACACCTACTCTATACTTTAGAACATTCCAGTGTTACTTTTGATACCCAATAAAAGATAAATGTTATGTAAACAATTGTTATACTGCATTGTGTAAGAAATTTTGACACAGACAAAATGCCTATTTAAGTTCAGTACAGACACAAAACCAGAGGTAATTTCTTAAAGAACCTTTAAATATCAGGTTGAAAACAACAGCTACAGATAATAAATATTTGTAAAACAACACATCATTATCAAAGATGAAACTGTGCTGTGTAAACATAAGGACATGAAAATTAAACCCTGAAGTTACATTTTAAAAAATGTTGGGCATGGTGACACCAGCTTGTAAATCCATTGCTGAGTGAGGGGCACAGAGAAAGGAGGACCCCTTGGTCTTGTTGACCAGACAGCACAGTCTATTCAGAGAACACTTGGCCAATGAGAGTTTTTCAAAGAAACAAAAAGCTGTTGGAAAAATAGCTCAGTAGTTAAGATAGTATATTGCTCTTATGCAACACCCAAGTTCAGTTCTTATAATCCACATTAGGTGTTCACAATCACCTGTGATTCCAGCTTTGGAGGGTCCAATGCTCTCTTCTGGTTTCCACAGGCATGTGCACTCATATGCACAGATACCACCTCCCCCAAACATAAATGCACACATTCTTTTTATCTCCACAGGAAAAAGAAGATGAACAACATCTACGAAATCACAGCCAAGGTTGTCCCCTGGCTCCCAAATGTGTGCAAACACACATGCATATGCACAAGCATGTATGATGACTATTCTTGGTTGTTGACTTGACTACATTTGAAACTAAATAAAATCCAAGAAGCTGAGTACATATGTGAGGAATTTTTCTTGATTAAATCATTTGAAGTAGGGAAAACCCACCCTTTAATCCAGATCTTTTGATGTGGGCAGATCCATCCTTAATCTAGGCCACACTTTCTGGTGGCAGCCTTTTGCTCTTTACCTGCCTGGCCTCACTCTTGCTGGAAAGTCCATTCACTGGCATTAGAGACTACTTCTTCAGGATTTCAGCATTTACTGAAAAACAGCTGATAGTACAGCCTTGTGAACTAAACATTTACTGTATTCTTGGAGTTTCTATTGGTAGACAGCCATTGTTGGACTATCTGGACCACAGCCTGTAAGCCATTCTAATAAATCCCATGTACATATTCTGTCAGTTCTGTTCCTCTAGAGAACCCTGACAAACAAAACATCCATATGCACATACATACAAAAATTATCTGGAAATTTTTTATACTGAAAGAATGCAGAGATATGGCATCCTTCCAATAAGAATGAAAGGAAAAGATAAGGAGGAATGTAATATAAGAGAGGAATGTAGTTTAAAAGACAGAGAAATCTGCACTTGAAAGTCATTTTTGCCAGTATGAAACTTGGGTCACTTCACTTCCCTAAAACTCAGGGTGGTAACCAATTAAAACATATGACAGCAAAAGCAGGGCATCTGTGGCTACTGCACAGGCCGCCAGCAGGGCTATTAGTATGCTGGAGAGGTGTCAAATCAGCTAAGACAACCTACCTGCCATACAGAGGTCCCATGTTCAGTGCCCAGCACCCATGTCAGGTGGCTCCAAAGCAACTCTCATTCCAGTTCCAGGGGATCCAATGCCCTCTCTGGCCTCCACGAAAACTGTGCTCACAAGTGCACATACCCATCCACACAGACACACAGGAAGAGACTTAAAAATAAATCCTAAAGTTGCAAGTGACTGTGGGGAGTGATGTGGGATACTGCTGTGCTAACTTGGGTGCAAACACTTACTGCAACTTGACATGCAGTTTAATTCCGAACATCCTCACAACTAAAGCAGGGGAGGAAACAGGAAGACTTGAAAAGTGTTTGCTATCTGAGACTCCTGCCCACATAATTGCAACATTAGTCTTCATAGATTCAAAGAGCAGAAAAGGAACTGAGCAGAGAAATCATGTGGTTTCTTCCCTCTTCCACCCTCTTAGTTTTACAAATGGGGAAACAAAGGCCCATAAAGAAAAGCAATAACCCACAGCATTTCTATTAGAGAGCACTGACAGGAAAACATGCTGAAGGCATCTGTTATTGTTAACTATAACTAGCAAGATTGGGACCATGAGTGTGATTTCACTAAAAATAAATGAATGAATGAATAAATAAATAAATTGTTTGTTTTAATTTTAAAGGTATAACAGGCAGAATAAAACATCAAAGAATGAAGACCATGAGGAGAGATGATTTCTTGATAACTATAGCCCATTGGCAAGTTTCATTTCAAAGCTCTCCTTACAATTATTTTTTTCTCACCACCATCTATTTGTCTATCATATATCTAGCCATGTTATATAATAATCTACCATCTACCAATTTTCAGTTATCTATCTATCTATCTATCTATCTATCTATCTATCTATCTAGCCATCTACCTTTCATCTATCAGAACTTATGTTGTCTCTATTCTCCACGCACCCAACCTGGCTGTAAAAGCAGTCCACACATCATTACCTAATCATTGGTTTGACATTTCTTCATATATTAGATGCAGGTTTTCAACTCTATATATTTATATGCGACCATTAATTTAATAACTTTAGGGCAGCAATGTTCTGTCTTTGGTTGAGATGGAAATGGAAGTTGTATCAGAGTTGAGTGTTCATTTTGAGTATGCTAACGCTGGCAATTCTCCTTCTCGATCTTGAATGGGAAGTAACTTTTTAATAATTCAATTCAATAATTGGCACATGATATGTGTAATGTATAAAAGATACAAAAGAACAATCCAGAGTTTCACATCACTCCCCACAATGCAGTTAATAGGCATCACAAGTCAATCTATAAGCATAGTGTTAGGATAAAAAGGGAGATGGGGACTTACAGCCCATTCTCACACCTGGTTTTCCTTGAGGGATAGTCACATAAGCAGGATTCACTCTCAGTAGTTTAGCACACATACAAACAAGGTGACCTTGATACCTAGGTTGGCTCCTCTGTGGACTACAGCATTACTTTTATTAAAATGGACCTGTGAAATGGAATGTTTAAGATGGTTGCTTTTATCAATGGGGCAGTAAAAATTTTTGTGTGGATTTTAGAGTCAGAGTTTTGGTGTATGTGTGTAATAGCTAATTATCATTGTCAACATGACAGAAACAACAATCATCTAGGAGATAAACTTCTGGGTATATCTGTGCCAGAATTTCTAGATTAGGTTAATTGAGGAAGGAAAGTCCATTTTAAAGCAAGCAGTAATATTCCATAGGATAGAATCCTTGACTGCATGAAAAGGAGGAGGATAGCTGAGCACCATCATTCCTCTCTACCTGCTTCCCTACTACAGATGCAGTGTGACCAGCTGTCTCCATCTCCTCTCTGCCTGCTACCCTACTACAGATGCACTGTGACCAGCTGTCTCAAGCCCTCAGTGCCATGCCTTCCCCATGATGGATTATATCCTTCAACTGTCAGTCAAATATATGTTCCTTTCCTAAAGTTGCTTTGGTTAGATATCTTATTTACTACAGAAGCATGAAAGTGATTAAAACAACATGCCTGTTCAATATTTTCTATGTAAGGGTCCTGGACAAATCATTATAACTGTGAAGATGTTACATTACAATAGTGATATCTTGTGATATCACTGACATGAATATCACTCTTTGTACTAACAATATTATGATAATATTTTTATGTTATATTTTACAAGGGCACATAATAGGCTACATGACACTCAAATGAGTAACTAATATATACATTACAGGCATGTACAATTGCTGCCCCTAGTTGCATGCATTCTAGGTTAGTTGTGAATAAAACCCAGTACATTGCCACGTCACAATGTCAAAAGATTGGGCACTCATCAGAACATAAACTAGAATGCCATTTCTTAGAGTTGTGGGTGGGAAGCTAACTCTTCAGATGAGCTTACAAGGCATAGACAGGCTGATTGTGACATCATTGCTGCTATTCAGGACCAATTATTCCCACTTTCCCCAGTGCTCATCACACTGTAATAACCTCATGCATCTCTCTAATGCTCTTTCCTGTTTATCTTGAAATTCCTCAAAAGAAGCTGTACTTTAGAATTTGCCAACATTTTGATGATTCTACTTCTTTTATTCAGTTTATTTTCTTCTCTTCCTTTGACTCTCAAGTGCCACTCAATCACATTATCAGAGACAGAGCTTCATCACTATTACTGTGCTAAGTTGAATCTGTATGGACTTATACAAGACCATGACTTTGCCTAATGAGATGTATAATGGGTATCTATGGTAGTGTGTGCTTGTAATCCAAGAACTGTGTGTATGTGTTTGTGTGGGAGCATGTTGGTTTCCTGGTATCATTTGTCTAGAAACTTAGCAAGTGTGGTAAGTTCCTGGTGTGTGAG